AAAATAATCCAACGAAATAACCTATCCACTCTATCAAAACAAAAGGCGTAGAAGCAGCGCAACCCAAGCAGAAATTCCATCAAGCATCAGCCAATCATCATCAAGATCCGCACGTTCTGGACCAATCAGGTTAAAGTGCTGCCTGGTTGCCTGGGGGCGGTGCCACGTCTCTTATAAAAGTTGAGCGACTCTTGCTTTTAAGAGTCAAGGGGGGCCCAGAGCTGCCGTTTTTGATGTGCGAGTGTGTGAAGCCTTTTAATGAAGCCTTTTAGAGGGAATTTTCCTTGAGTAAGGGAGAGTGTGTCGCGACTGGTGATGGCAGCCTCGGGCTTGGATCAACCGACCACAACACTTTACTTCCGTTTTCTAAGCGATTTATTTTTGTTTATAGCCTAAAAGTTATTTTATGGCTTATAATATTTAATTTCTTTATGTATTTCTACTACTACTACTGCTATTGACGGATACTGGTGACTTTTTGCAATCATTATAGAATAGGTCTATAGAATAGGTCTAATAGAATAGGTCTTGTAATGAAATGTATATTTATACTAATATTTTTATAACGAACACAAAATTTGATATACAAATTATTTTAAAGTTAAAACAAAAACGGAGATACTGAACAAAATTATCTCTACTATCCTAATTATCCTAACTCAAGGGAAAAAACACTGATATCAGTATTATCAACACCTAACTCAGGGGGAGAATTTTGTTTTGTTTTGTTTTTTATATACACGCGTCCTGTCAGGGCGCCTGGCAGCTGGGTGGACAGCGCTTCGCATTCGTAGTCCTGAGGTTACGGGTTCGATCCCCGGTGGAGGCGGAGACAAATGGGTAAAATGTTTCTTTCACCCCTGATGTCCCTGTTACCTAACAGTATATAGGTACCTGGGAGTTAGACAGCTGCTACGGGCTGCTTCCTGGGGGGGGGGGGGGGTAACAAAAAGGAGGCCTGGTCGAGGACCGGGCCGCGGGGACGCTAAGCCCCGAAATCATCTCAAGATAACGAGTTCTTACATTCTTGTACGACCGCTAGCACGCATAGCGTTTCGGGCAGGTCATTAATCCTAATGTTTCTTTCCACCGGAATACGACCCGCCAAATCGTTTAACAACCAAGTACCCAATCACTGCTGGGTGAACAAATGCTACAGTTAAGGATTGGCGCCCAGTCAATCCTCCCCAGCCAGGATACGAACCCAGACCAAAGCGCCGGGAGAGTGCTTTTACCACTACGTCACGGGTACTGCTCCTCACACTAATTGAGAGATATATACAAGAGTTGTTACATTCTTGTACATATATATGTATATATAGGGGCATAACTGGCCGACCACTCACAGTGTTCAAGAGAGAACTGGATAAGCACCTCCAAAGGATACCTGATCAACCAGGCTGTGACTCATACGTCAGGCTGCGAGCAGCCGCGTCCAACAGCCTGGTTGATCAGTCCGGCAACCAGGAGGCCTGGTCGACGACCGGGCCGCGGGGACGCTAAGCCCCGGAAGCACCTCAAGGTAACCTCAAGGTAAGGTATATCAGTGTTATCAACATCTGAATTTAGGGGAGACTTCAATGTTAAGGAATTATTGTCCCTGTAGCTTGCGTTATTTTTATGGCGATAAATTAAAAACAATTTTTAGCTATGGGTGAACAATATGTTATTTTTGTTCTGTAAGACTGTTCACCCGCGTGGTCCACAGCATCAGCCGTGACCGGAAAGATGATAACATTTATTATTAATAAACAACTTCTGGAATCTATTAATGCCTTTGGGAATACCTTGATAATAATGGATGATAGTTGCAGTGTTTGCTTCAGATCAGAGCTATATGGAAGTGCAGTCCGAGAGTCACAGTAACGTGGCTGAAGATATGATGACCAGATTACACACTGAGAGACACTCCTTCATTCTACTTTGCTCTAATGAAGGCGAATTAGCCGAAAACGTGTTAAGCATTCCCTATTTTCCACATGTGGTTTTTCCGCATACTTGGATCAGTGTTTTTGTGATAATTTTTGCATATATATATATGCATATATATATATATATATATATATATATATATATATATATATATATATATATATATATATATATATATATGCATATATATATATATATATATATATATATATATATATATATATATATATATATATATATAAATCATGTATATCTGTATTAATATCATGTATTCCCTAATGCTGTACTGTATGTATAATTACACTTACTTACATTATGTAAGAATCAATGCATCAGTATACAACACATGAACAACTATTAATAATAGATAATATTTGTGTGGTAATGCAAGTAATAGGTTTATAGAAGCAATATGGCGGATGTTGTAATAATAATAATGTCGGCTATAGCACTGGTAGTGTAAGAATACTCAGTATAGCTATCGTAACAATGATTGTATAATGTGTGTGTGATGATTGTGCGCGGACCTTCAGCTGCTGCCGTCCCCTCGGCCTGCCCTCCGTCCCCTCGGCCTGCCCTCCGTCCCCTCGGCCTGCCCTCCGTCCCCTCGGCCTGCCCTCCGTCCCCTCGGCCTGCCCTCCGTCCCCTCGGCCTGCCCTCCGTCCCCTCGGCCTGCCCTCCGTCCCCTCGGCCTGCCCTCCGTCCCCTATGGCCTGTCCTCCGTCCCCTATGGCCTGCCCTCCGTCCCCTCGGCCTGTCCTCCGTCCCCTCGGCCTGCCCTTCGTCCCCTCGGCCTGCCCTCCGTCCCCTCGGCCTGCCCTCAGTCCCCTCGGCCTGCCCTCCGTCCCCTCGGCCTGTCCTCCGTCCCCTCGGCCTGTCCTCCGTCCCCTCGGCCTGTCCTCCGTCCCCTCGGCCTGCCCTCCGTCCCCTCGGCCTGTCCTCCGTCCCCTCGGCCTGTCCTCCGTCCCCTCGGGCCTCCGTCCCCTCCTCCGTCCCCTCGGCCTGCCCTCCGTCCCCTCGGCCTGCCCTCCGTCCCCTCGGCCTGTCCTCCGTCCCCTCGGCCTGTCCTCCGTCCCCTCGGCCTGCCCTCCGTCCCCTCGGCCTGCCCTCCGTCCCCTCGGCCTGCCCTCCGTCCCCTCGGCCTGCCCTCCGTCCCCTCGGCCTGTCCTCCGTCCCCTCGGCCTGCCCTCCGTCCCCTCGGCCTGCCCTCCGTCCCCTCGGCCTGCCCTCCGTCCCCTCGGCCTGTCCTCCGTCCCCTCGGCCTGTCCTCCGTCCCCTCGGCCTGTCCTCCGTCCCCTCGGCCTGTCCTCCGTCCCCTCGGCCTGCCCTCCGTCCCCTCGGCCTGTCCTCCGTCCCCTCGGCCTGTCCTCCGTCCCCTCGGCCTGTCCTCCGTCCCCTCGGCCTGTCCTCCGTCCCCTCGGCCTGTCCTCCGTCCCCTCGGCCTGTCCTCCGTCCCCTCGGCCTGTCCTCCGTCCCCTCGGCCTGTCCTCCGTCCCCTCGGCCTGTCCTCCGTCCCCTCGGCCTGTCCTCCGTCCCCTCGGCCTGTCCTCCGTCCCCTCGGCCTGTCCTCCGTCCCCTCGGCCTGTCCTCCGTCCCCTCGGCCTGCCCTCCGTCCCCTCGGCCTGTCCTCCGTCCCCTCGGCCTGTCCTCCGTCCCCTCGGCCTGCCCTCCGTCCCCTCGGCCTGTCCTCCGTCCCCTCGGCCTGTCCTCCGTCCCCTCGGCCTGTCCTCCGTCCCCTCGGCCTGTCCTCCGTCCCCTCGGCCTGTCCTCCGTCCCCTCGGCCTGCCCTCCGTCCCCTCGGCCTGTCCTCCGTCCCCTCGGCCTGCCCTCCGTCCCCTCGGCCTGTCCTCCGTCCCCTCGGCCTGCCCTCCGTCCCCTCGGCCTGCCCTCCGTCCCCTCGGCCTGCCCTCCGTCCCCTTGGCCTGTCCTCCGTCCCCTCGGCCTGCCCTCCGTCCCCTCGGCCTACCCTCCGTCCCCTCGGCCTGCCCTCCGTCCCTGCCACAAGAGCCAGTATAATAAATATTACACCACCTCCACCAGGGACTAGACACGGCCACATTACCCTGGCCTCAGGCCCCTGGTGGTCCTGGGGTCCTGGGGTCTCCTGGGTGTCCCCTGGGGTCCTCTGGGGTCCCCTGGGGTCCCTGGGGTCCTGGGTCCTGGGGTCCTTGAAGTCCTGGGGTCCCTGGGGTCCTGGGGTCCTGTGGTCTCCTGGGGTCCTGTGGTCCCCTGGGGTCCTGTGGTCTCCTGGGGTCCTGTGGTCCCCTGGGGTCCTGTGGTCTCCTGGGGTCCTGTGGTCCCCTGGGGTCCTGGGGTCCTTGAAGTCCTGGGGTCCCTGGGGTCCTGGGGTCCTGTGGTCTCCTGGCGTCCTGTGGTCCCCTGGGGTCCTGTGGTCTCCTGGGGTCCTGTGGTCCCCTGGGGTCCTGGGGTCCTTGAAGTCCTGGGGTCCCTGGGGTCCTGGGGTCCTGTGGTCTCCTGGGGTCCTGTGGTCCCCTGGGGTCCTGGGGTCCTTGAAGACCTGGGGTCCCTGGGGTCCTGGGGTCCTGTGGTCTCCTGGGGTCCTGTGGTCCCCTGGGGTCCTGGAGTCCTGGGGCCTTAGTCCTGTGTGTGTGTGTGTGATGACCACTAGACCGAAAACATGACATATTTACCAGGGATGAACCCCTTCTCTACCTTAAAAAATGAAATCCCCGGAAAGCCAAATTAACGACCCAGACCATAGAGGGTTCTCGGGTCAGGGCGACACGGGTGATGTACGTCAACACCAAAACTTATTCAAGTATATTACATATACTCATGCTACAGCTCCTATTTGTTTGTGTGTGTGTGTACGCAGCTTGGCACAGTAGACAGCTTTTGTTTCCTGTTAGCACGCCGAGCTTCCCCCACCCTTCTCGTAGCTCCTGGCACAGCCCATCCTCTCCAGCGTTCGCTACGTCACTAAACTGATGTGCTAAATGGAAATCTAACTTATTTTATGTATGTGTGTGTGTGTGTTGGGGCGGGGGGGGGGGGGGTGGGGGGGTACCGAGACCTGAACGGCCTTGATGTATACCTGAGACCCCGTCAGTAGCTCACGAGCTGCGGTAGTGTGAGGGTGTGTACCGCGCGCTCTTCCCTCGGACCCGTGCCTGAACTCTTTGGTGCCGCCGGTGAGTGGAAGGTGACGCAAGTGGTCGTGGTGGATATGTCACGAAAAAGAGAACAAAAACTATCTCGTTTTTATAAGTGTTTTCAAATTTTATTTGAAGGGATATAACTAAATGTTTGTTTTTCGTTAGAAAGACTTAACCCACGAGAACCTAAGAGAAAAAGAAAAGCGAAACGAAACCAAAATTGCCTTTTTTTAATGTGAATTTGGCGGCCATAGCCTCAGTAATTTCCAAAGCATTACACTTTTAATTTCGTATCTGTCATGACGGCACTGGAACTAACCACTGCGCCACGCGACGATTTCAAGCCTATGCCTTCCTTCTGTCCTTCCTAAACCTCCAGAAAAGAAATATATATATACTTGAAAGGAAACATCAAAATATATAATTTCACACATATATGAGAGAGACACAAGATGGCTGAAGATTAAGGACTTCCACGGGCCTAAGGCTGCAGTTTCCCACGATAAGATGAGGAAGGTTCTGTTAGACAGGTTCATTATCTTGTTAGCAAGGAGGGCTTAAATGTCGTCAACTGGATTTATTTTGTGAACTTGGCGAAGTTTGATAAGTTTTGGCGATCTGCAGCAGCTGCAGCGTTAAGTTCAGCTACGTTTCATATTCTCCTGCGAGCAGCTAGGTTTGATCTTTTATTGAAGCTGTATCTATATTGAAGGTTTGTTTTATCTTTATTGAAGCGGGGATATATCTTTATTGAAGCACGGTTACATCTTTATTGAAGTTAGGTTAATCTATTCTTCGTTAGAGTGATATCTGGCGTCATTAAAACTTGTTTACATATGCACACATGTACACAGCGGGTGTACATAAGTTCCCCCGCTGGCTTCCTCCCACCACTCTCTAGCCCGTGCAGGTGTGATGACAGGTGTGCTCTTGTCGGCCAGGTACAGGTGTGTACCGCAGGTGCTGGCAATTTATAAACATGAGGCTTGATGGAGAGTTTTTTTTTACGGGCTATTCATGCCCGTGCCACCTTTTAGGTGGCTTAATCTTTATCACTCAACCGGTGGAGAGTTACTCACGTGTAGGTGACTTAGGCTGAGTTAGTGCTCCTTATAAGGTGCACTAACCCAACATTATATATATATTGTGTGTTTTGGATAAGATCTGCACTTATATTGGTGGGCTGGAGCAGCAGGGTTGATGTGAGCTGACAGTCGTGTCTTGGTGTTGAAGATGCGCTTCGGCTATATCTAATCTTCTGTGGTGGTTGTATCTGTTGATTATTAGTGTGTTGCAGGTCAGGACATCTCCGGTGATGGTCTGGCTGACGGCAGCAATCATGTGACCTTTCACAGACCTTTGTTAATGGTGCCCTGCCCGGATGATGGTTCTTCTGCTGCCACTGCTAATGATACTTGTGCCACTTCGAATAATAATTACACACACACAACTTTGTGTATGTGTGTGTGTGTGTGTGTGTGTGTGTGTGTGTGTGTGTGTGTGTGTGTGTGTGTGTGTGTAGGGTCAAAGCAGACAAAATGTTTCCGACTATTTAGTGGAACCGGAAACGAGTCGCGCTCTACTTCCTCTACTCTGTCCTGTCTCTTTGTGTAATGTTTTGGTAATGTCTGTACTTAGTTGTGCCTGCCTGCGGGGGTTGAGCTTTGGCTCTTTGGTCCCGCCTCTCCAGTGATAGTTACTGCGAGTCTGTTTCTCCTCCTCGGACTCACTATAGCCCGTGCTGCTTACAACTTTGTTGACCCGAGTGGCTGCATCTAAAACAACAACAACAACAACCTAGGACATCCCAATAATGGAGATCAGTTGGGATTGTATTCGGGTCTCCGGACCCTCCAGGAGCAGTGCCGACTTGACCATGATGAGCTTAAGAACTACCCTAACCTAACTGTACAGAACTTACCTGCAGCTTGGGAAGCACTTTGATTATGTTAGCGATTATAGTCATCTTGTACATGTTTAGTACATGTTACTGTCGTCATGTGTACTATATAAGCAGGAGGATGGTTTGTATGTGTCTATCTTGAGGTTATCTTGAGAAGATTTCGGGGCTTTTTTTTTTAGTGTCCCCGCGGCCCGGTCCTCGACCAGGCCGCCACCCCCAGGAAGCAGCCCGTGACAGCTGACTAACACCCAGGTACCTATTTTACTGCTAGGTAACAGGGGCATAGGGTGAAAGAAACTCTGCCCATTGTTTCTCGCCGGCGCCTGGGATCGAACCCAGGACCACTGGATCACAAGTCCAGCGTGCTGTCCGCTCGGCCGACCGGCTCCCTTTCTACACTTAGGTTATTTACTAACCTAAGTGTAGGTTATTTGCTAAGTGCTTTTCAGCAGTTAGCAAGTCTGTTGCAGATTGTTGACCAGACCACACACTAGAAAGTGAAGGGACGACGACGTTTCGGTCCGTCCTGGACCATTCTCAAGTCGCTCATCGTCTGCATGATGAAGATTGTGGCAGTGGTTGAAGCAGCCTGGCAGGTGATGGCAAGGGGACATCAACAAGGATGAACTGTATTGTTGCTAATATCCTCCTCCTTATCCAGTCTTAATCCACTTTCCTCACTTACTCCTCCTGGAGCACTTGGCTCCTACTTTACCTGACAACCACTTAACACGCCTGGTCTCCGATGTTACTTATAATGGTTATTGAGACACAAGTCTTCACTTACCAGCGGGGGCTGGCTGCCGCCGGGGCGACCACTGCATCACCCCGCCACCACCTCCCACCACATGGACGGGGAGCCAGGCGGGCGGGGTGAGGGAGGCAGGGCCAGGCAGGCCGGAAGGGTGAGGGAGGCAGGGCCAGGCAGGCCGGAAGGGTGAGGGAGGCAGGGCCAGGCAGGCCGGAAGGGAGGGTGAGGGAGGCAGGGCCAGGCAGGCCGGAAGGGTGAGGGAGGCAGGGCCAGGCAGGCCAGAAGGGTGAGGGAGGCAGGGCCAGGCAGGCCGGAAGGGAGGGTGAGGGAGGCAGGGCCAGGCAGGCCGGAAGGGTGAGGGAGGCAGGGCCAGGCAGGCCAGAAGGGTGAGGGAGGCAGGGCCAGGCAGGCCGGAAGGGAGGGTGAGGGAGGCAGGGCCAGGCAGGCCGGAAGGGAGGGTGAGGGAGGCAGGGCCAGGCAGGCCGGAAGGGTGAGGGAGGCAGGGCCAGGCAGGCCGGAAGGGTGAGGGAGGCAGGGCCAGGCAGGCCGGAAGGGTGAGGGAGGTAGGGCCAGGCAGGCCGGAAGGGTGAGGGAGGCAGGGCCAGGCAGGCCGGAAGGGTGAGGGAGGCAGGGCCAGGCAGGCCGGAAGGGTGAGGGAGGCAGGGCCAGGCAGGCCGGAAGGGTGAGGGAGGCAGGCCAGAAGGGTGAGGGAGGCAGGGCCAGGCAGGCCAGAAGGGTGAGGGAGGCAGGGCCAGGCATGCCAGAAGGGTGAGGGAGGCAGGGCCAGGCATGCCAGAAGGGTGAGGGAGGCAGGGCCAGGCAGGCCAGAAGGGTGAGGGAGGCAGGGCCAGGCAGGCCAGAAGGGTGAGGGAGGCAGGGCCAGGCAGGGCGGGTATGGTGGGACAGGGGGAAGGGAAGGGAAGGGAAGGGGGAAGGGGAGGGAGAAGTATATCCTTCAAGCCATCTTCAACGATGAAAGAAATCGACCAACTGGGGACCACCTTCCCTCCGCAGCTGGGTAAGACTTGCGTCCCAGAAATCCTCATCCCTAATCCTGTAGAATTACAGATGTTCGTAAAAAGAACGAAGAACTGATGTTTAAAGGTCTATATAACCTCCGTCACACTACCTAACTGACCAGCCAGCAAGTATATTTCAACTCTCCAAGATTAAAGTCAACTCTCTGTGTATATTCACCGAAACATACACGTGTCGGTGTATTTGTTGGGTATCATGCGAGCGTCTGTGTACCTGGAGGTCACGATCAAGCGAGCGTCCTGCACAGTCAGACGAGCCCCTGACGTTCGTGAGCAGAGCTTCGTGAACGGCTCTATGCCTCTGCTCGTCAGCCCTCCCCCATCCGGGACATAAACTGTGAAATATTACCCCACATTCAGCCATAAACTACATATTTCCATTTCCTCTGGTGTTTTCAATAAATTTTCCTGGAGACTATACCTCAAAACTGCTCATATTTTTGTTGCCATTATAATGGCTTGTGTAGGAATGAGTTTAGTGTATCGTGAGGAAGGGCGCCGAGTGATACACATCTGGCAACACCGCGGGAGGTGAGGTGTGTCGTCCAGTTCTCACTCATTAATCGTTCGTGAGTATCGGCTTTGAATCATGCTTAATCCGCACTATTTCTTGAGGCCCCAGACGGGGGTGACTGATGATCTCAAGACGGTGTAGTTACCGTGAGCTGTGAGGGAGCTTGTGTAGTGTGAACCACAGGGCGGGGAGGCTCGGCTAGTCATCGTTCATCCCAGTGAACAGTGAAGGTAATTTGCGGTAATTTGGATTGGATGTAAATCAATTGAAGGATTGTGTTCTGTGGGGGGGGGGAAATGCCGGACACCAGCCGCAAATGACCCGAAGGAATGTAAGGAAATACTCATACCCAGTACGGGTGGTCAACAAGTGGAATGCAATGTTACCTAGCAGTATATAGGTACCTGGGAGTTAGTCAGCTGTCACGGGCTGCTTCCTGGGGGTGGAGGCCTGGTCGAGGACCGGGCCGCGGGGACACTAAAGCCCCGAAATCATCTCAAGATAACCTTAAGATAGGTACTCTCTCTCCCCTTCCTCTTTCTCTCTCCTTTGCTCTCTCTTCCTTCCTACACCTCTTCTCCCTCTCTTCCTCTCCCTTCCTATCCCCCCCTCTCCCTCTCTACCCCTCCCTCTCCCAGTTATCTCTAGAAGGGTGAAGGCGCTGACGCGTGTCCTGTGAGAAGGTTAACTGGGCGGTCATTCTCCTGTTGATAAGATAAGAGAGGGAGATACGACACGCCTAGTGAGGGGAGAGTGTCGGAGGTGAGACGTCGTAGATAGTGGGATAGGAGAGATAGCAAAGAGAATAGGGGGCGGTCAATGGTATTTTTGGTGCTAGTGTCAGGGTTAACTAACTTAGGGTCCTCCAGTCAGGGGCCCGCACCCCTAGACAGGGGCAGGGTACACCCCCCCCCCAGAAAAAAAAGAGAATGGGAAAACGAGAGAAGCCACAGAAATTGGGTCTGGAGGGAGTGGGAGGGGTGAATCCCTCCCTTTCTCTCTCTCTTTTCCTACCCCCTTTACCTCACCTCCCTTCCCCCCCCGTCTGTCTGTCTCTCCCCTCCCACTATGAGGCCACACAAGTAACTGCTTAGTTAACTCCTCTTCCCTACTCCCCCCACTCCCCCCAGCCCACGAGCCCCCTTCCCCCAGCCCACCAGCGTTTGCCCCCCCTATCCACGTCATCCAGTCTCCCCCCCCCCTCTCAACACTCAAGCCTTTACCCTTCCCCCAGCACTCAAACCCCTTCCCCCAGCACTCAAACCCCTTCCCCCAGCACTCAAACCCCCTTCCCCCAGCACTCAAACCCCTTCCCCCAGCACTCAAACCCCTTCCCCCAGCACACAAACCCCTTCCCCCAGCACACAAACCCCTTCCCCCAGCACTCAAACCCCCTTCCCCCAGCACTCAAACCCCTTCCCCCAGCACTCAAACCCCCTTCCCCCAGCACTCAAACCCCTTCCCCCAGCACTCAAACCCCTTCCCCCAGCACTCAAACCCCTTCCCTCAGCACTCAAACCCCCTTCCCCCAGCACTCAAACCCCTTCCCCCAGCACTCAAACCCCTTCCCCCAGCACTCAAACCCCTTCCCCCAGCACTCAAACCCCTTCCCCCAGCACTCAAACCCCCTTCCCCCAGCACTCAAACCCCTTCCCCCAGCACTCAAACCCCTTCCCCCAGCACTCAAACCCCTTCCCCCAGCACTCAAACCCCCTTCCCCCAGCACTCAAACCCCTTCCCCCAGCACACAAACCCCTTCCCCCAGCACTCAAACCCCCTTCCCCCAGCACTCAAACCCCTTCCCCCAGCACTCAAACCCCTTCCCCCAGCACTCAAACCCCTTCCCCCAGCACTCAAACCCCTTCCCCCAGCACTCAAACCCCTTCCCCCAGCACTCAAACCCCTTCCCCCAGCACACAAACCCCTTCCCCCAGCACTCAAACCCCCTTCCCCCAGCACTCAAACCCCTTCCCCCAGCACTCAAACCCCTTCCCCCAGCACTCAAACCCCTTCCCCCAGCACTCAAACCCCCTTCCCCCAGCACTCAAACCCCTTCCCTCAGCCAAACCCCTTCCCCCAGCACTCAAACCCCTTCCCCCAGCACTCAAACCCCTTCCCCCAGCACTCAAACCCCCTTCCCCCAGCACTCAAACCCCTTCCCTCAGCCAAACCCCAAACCCCTTATTATTATTATTATTATTATAATGACATTAGTATACCTTCAATTTACCCTTATAAATTAGCGTCACTCACCAATTTCCGTGTAATAACACCTTCTTACTCACCACAACTAGCGAATGAGAACCCCCGAGTCTGGAAAACTGGGTTCCTATTGGGCACTCGCCACACACATCGCAGATTCGTGAATAACTGCCGGGGGTTATAAAGAGGCCAATGAGAAGCCGCGCTCTCATAAAACTCGATTCCCATTGGGGAATTGTTTGAATATCGTAGCTATACGAGAGCGACTGCGGAAGACAAAATTGCCAATGAGAACGTTGGGCTCAATAATACTCGCTTTTTATTGGGCGTTTGTCATATAAACATCACAGGTGTAGGAACCTGCTGGAGGACGCCACGGAGCAAATGAGAACCAACTCTCTCGTAAAGCTCAATTCCCATTGGGGAATGCGCCATGTAAACATCGTGGCTCGCGTAATCAGGACCGAAAGTAAATCGGCCAATGAGAAAGCGCCTACCACTAAAACACACCTTTTTGTTGGCTAAGTCGGCTGGCCGGGGTTTCAGGAATTACCTAATAACATAATTGCTTTTTTGACAACTAAAGTTCTTAACAGAAGTATTTAACGTAAGAAAGAGGGAATAGGAGGAAATACGAGAAGGGAAGAATAAGAAGAAGATGACGAAGAGAGGTACAAATAAAGACTAGTAAAAGAAGCAGTTCATAGATAAAATATAATTAAAAGCGAAAATTGACATTTTCGGGAAGGGTTGAAATTTCTTCACCCACGTACTTCAAATATACATAATAGCTAACCTAACTTAGCACCTAGCCTAACTCTACATAACTGTACATAAAACTTTAATGAGTAATAAGAATAATTTATATTTGAGAACAAAGCTATTTTTAATAAATAGTACGTTAAAATTGATGAATTCGTCTTAGGGGTCGGTCGCTGCTTTAACGAGCCTGGCCTGAGGAAGCAACCCGTCCTCGACTCAAGTCCATTCTATCCAGCGGTCGACCCCACAGACGCATTCATAAATTTTAACATGCTGTTCATTCAAAACGGGAATTTTCTCAAATATAAATTAATATTATATTAGCATATTGTGTATATATAGGCATAAGTTAGGTCAGGTGTTTAGGTTCTGTTGGCGATTGTTTGTATTTGTAGTACGTGGGTGAAGCATTTACAGCGTTGTGGTTCCAACAAAATTCGCCAGTTTTTTTTTTTTTTTTCTTTTTTGCAGGGATAATCCTGCGCGGGCCCTAAGCCTCTGGCTGGCCCACTAAGTGTTGCTTGTTTCTGTTTTACTTGGGCGGAGTGTGAGTATTTATGACTCGTATGGTCGCTTCAGTAAGATTTTGCCATATGTGTTTAACAACTTCCTCTGCTCTGTTGAATCTAAGTTGAAATCTTAATGGGTTTGTAACTGTGCACTGTGTTAGATAATGTTCCAGTGGTCTGTCGGGCATGTCTCCACAGTGTTGACATTTCCTCTCATCTTCCGGAACCTGTAAGCCTATTTCCCATGCACATGGGTATCCAAGCCTGATGCGATGTAAGTGCACTTCTGTTGTTCTACTGCTCCCTTTCATCAAACTAAGTGGTTCGTAGTTGGTTGAATTCTTGTACCAACCCGCAGATCCTGATGTTGCAACTGCTGTGTTGTGGTCACTGTACATCTTTTGCATTGCTCTGTTTCGAATTACTTTCTTCATCTGGGATAGACTCTGTGGCATGTAAATGTCTACATTTCTTCTCTTAGTTGCAAGTTTTGCAGCTTTGTCTGCAATGTCATTTCCTATTATTCCCACATGACTTGGCACCCAGTTGATAAGTACCCGTCGGCCTTGTCGTTTGAGTGTTTGCATGAATGATATGACATTTGTGATCAGATGGATGTTATCACATATGTGTTCTTGTTGCAAGGTTTCAATGGCGATTCTCGAATCTGTATGTATGATAACATGTTGTCGGTGTTCAGCAAGAGCATGTTCCAAAGCCTTTTGAATGGCTAGCATCTCTGTTTGTAAAGTCGAACACCCATTTGAGAGCCTCCAACTATTTACAGAGTTTCCTGCTTTAACCGCAGCTTCGGTTTCTTGTCCCTGCTGGTCTACTGATCCATCTGTGAAGTAAGTGAAGCTGTCGGATGCCATGTTTGCTTCTATATGCATCTGTGCAATGTTATGTAGCAGATGAGGATTTGTCCGGTTCTTCTTTCCTTCAAGAGAATTCGCCAGTGAAGCACTTGTTCCGGAAGTGTTCGAACGTCAACAGTTGTGAGTCGTGTGTAAACTGTTTTTCAGTCATAAACAGCGGGGGGGGGGGGGGGGGGGGGGGTTTGGCGGGTGCATGGAATCACTTTTGGGACTTTGTTTGGAGGCCGGGCTGGAACCCAACTGTGCCACTGAGACCCTAATATCCAAATCTAATCACAATTTATTGTTCATTCTTCATGATAAAATAGCAGTATTGCCGTGTAAGGTCAAGCGTGTAGAGCTATCGTGTCTGCTGGCTGCTCAGTAACAAATGTGGAATAATTGGTTAGTGGTGAAACATTGAAAATGGAACATTTTGGTTCACTCCGCTAGCTTGATTTTTTACACTAACCTTAAAAAAAAGTATTTTAGAACCCTCGAAAATATACACACAATATACACTCTGAAATTCGAGCGAACATACGCTCGACAAATGCACATCGTGATTTCAAGACCTTCGCCCATTTCTTTGTTTTCGTTGCTTTATTTCATTATTTAATATAGTTTTTTCTTATATCGTAACTTAAATATATTTTTTATATTGATGAACGTCTTTATTGTATATTTCAGAGAGGTTATAAGTCCTGAGTAATGGTGGCGGGGTGACGCGTGACTTATCTTCCAGAACTGACCCGCCAACCTTCATTCCACTCTCATATAATTTTACAATTCCTCTTCCTGTTTGTCCTGCCCGCGGCCTTGCCACCCTAGATCTCGGATACCACTCAAGTGCTTTGTCTTTGGCGAACTGAGAAACGTTGATATAGTGTTTTTTTTATATATTTATTTTCGAGGCAAAAGAAGTGTTGACAGTCCGTGACCTATCTCCCGGCCAGACATTTCAGCCATTATGCCCGGGAATTGTGGCTTGGGCAGGGCAGTAGAGGCGTGTGGTATAAGGGAGCGAGGGTTCTCCATGTGACCCGGAAAATGCATTCCAATCTGGACATGCTGAAGGTGAAATATAATATGCTTGAATAGCATTAGTAGAGATAATTAGAAACAGAAAAAGACGGAACTATTTTTTGTGTGGCAGCCATGACTCCGCCATTGTTACATTCCCGTCGTCGGCAAACTTTGGCCTCCTCCGCCCGCCACATCTACGCCGCCTTCGTCCGTACTCGCCCCTTCGCCCACCAGAATCCCCGCACGTCCGTAACGACGCCCACGCCCACGCCGGGAATATGGGGCGACTGTGGGCGTGGCCTGGGCGTGCTTGTGTACCGCAGTGTGGGGCTGTGGGCGGTGCTGGGCGTGACCTACGTCGTGGGCATCGTGGCTGGACCCATAGCGGGTCCCGCTGTGTCCTCCTCTCTTCTGGTCGCCGCCGTCACCTCACTCCTCACAGGTTAGTGGACACGGGGTTTGTTAGACGGCTGCGACGTCGCTCATTGGTTAGTGGACACGGGGTTTGTTAGACGGCTGCGACGTCGCTCATTGGTTAGTGGACACGGGGTTTGTTAGACGGCTGCGACGTCACTGATTGGTTAGTGGACACGGGGTTTGTTAGACCGCTGCGACGTCACTGATTGGTTAGTGGACACGGGGTTTGTTAGACCGCTGCGACGTCACTGATTGGTTAGTGGACACGGGGTTTGTTAGACGGCTGCAACGTCACTCATTGGTTAGTGCACACGGGGTTTGTTAGACGGCTGCGACGTCACTCATTGGTTAGTGGACACGGGGTTTGTTAGACGGCTGCGACGTCACTCATTGGTTAGTGGACACGGGGTTTGTTAGACGGCTGCGACGTCACTCATTGGTTAATGGACACGGGGTTTGTTAGACGACTGCGACGTCACTCATTGGTTAGTGGACACGGGCTTGGTGAGTCCTGTATGACGTCAGTCCTTACAAGATGGTGAAGTAGCGATTGATTACACAGCAGTGACGTCAGTCCTCACAGGTCAGAGGTCATGCGATTGGTCAGTCGGCCACGAGGTTATGTTTGAAGTTTACTTTCAAGTTTTAATTGGTTAGTCGTCGCCTGCATTACTGTTTACAGGTGAGCGCTTCTCTCTCATTGGCTACATTACTCTGACGTCACCTTTTCATAAGACTGAGAATTAAACACAGGTCTACACACACCATCTTGAGATGATTCTGGGGCTTTAGTGTCCCCGCGGCCCGGTCCTCGACCAGGCCTCCACCCCCAGGAAGCAGCCCGTGACAGCTGACTAACTCCCAGATAACTATTTACTGCTAGGTAACAGGGGCATCAGGGTGAAAGGAACTCTGCCCATTGTTTCTCGCCGGCGCCCGGGATTGAACTCGTGAGCACAGGATCACGCGTCCAGTGTGATGTCCGCTCAGCCACCGGCACCATGAAAAGTGTAGTTGCACATCTTGACGCTTTCTTTTGGCATTTCATTGTAAATGTCTTCAACATTATGATGTGTAGAACTTCATTATATCGAAGCATTCCTACTATTTTAAAAAGTTTTTAATTGGGCAGTATTCTGGAACTTTATTTCTCAAGTTCTTCACATCCGTCCTTCATTCCCCGAGTCCGATATTCCCTTTAAGTGTCCCTCTATGTCCCTCATGTCCCTCAGGGACCCCTCATTCCCCTGCAACATATCCAAAAATAACCTTTAATCACCACCTATTTTTGTTAGTCAGGTCAAGTCGTCATTTCAGCAACAATTTCCCTCCCAAAGCTTCTCGTCTCGTGTAAACGAGACGAGAAACCTTGAAGGTCAGGTCAGGTCAGGTCAGGTCAGGTCAGGTCGAACTTGGTCATGTCAAGTCTGGTTTGACGTTCTAAGATGAGCCAGGTCAGGTCAAGGCAGGTCAGTATATATTTCTATCTCTGTGAGGATATCGTAATATCACAGGATTATTACATTGGTTCCAGGAGGCCTATTGCCTAATCTTAGGCAGATCGTATTTTTACCCAAATATTTCTTCCCCATAGTAGGGAAGGTTGGCTGTAATGAAGATGGTTACAGGGAGGAAGATGGTATTCCTTCACATATACATATAGGCACCGGTATTTTGATCAATTAATAATGTTCACACACATCTCATTTTGATCTCTCCACTCACTCTTTCGTCCACTCACACTCGTCCCTTCACACTATTTCACTCGCTGTTCTACCCATTACCGCTCGACGGTCAGAGACGAAACTGTGTGACAGGGAGGGCCAAATAAAGCGTAAACAGGAGTGGAGAGGGAGAGCAGAGGTCGTTGTTTGCCTGCTAACTGCCTTGTTAGTCTGCAAGGTTGTTTTTATGTCTGCTTAATGTTCAATTATGGCTCAAGGTTGTGTTTGGCATGGAAATGTCAGCAGAGGGTGAGGTCAGGAATGTCGTGGGAGGTCTGTTGGAAACCTTATTTTGGTTGAAAATAATTTTGGTTGTAAAAAAGATTTTGTTTACAAAAATCAGTATTGTACCTCATTTATTTTGGTTGGAGAGAGAGAGAGAGAGAGAGAGAGAGAGAGAGAGAGAGAGAGAGAGAGAGAGAGAGTGAGTGAGTTTCTCATTAACACATCATCTTTGGGGTAAGTTGAAGGAAGAGGGGGAGGAAGAAGAGAATGGGAGGGATATGAGAGAGAAGGGCAATATAGAGGGGAATGAGAGTGGAAAGTTGAAGGGAGTTAGCATGAGAAAGGGGGGGAAGGGGATGTGGAGGGAAAGAGGGATTTGGGTTAATGCAATCACTGACCTTGAAGAATAACCAGCTTATGCTGTCGGGGGAGGTCTGTTGGAAACCGTATTTTGGTTGAAAATAATTTTGGTTGTAAGCAGATTTTGTTTACAAAAAAATCAGTATTATGCCTCATTTTGGTTGGCAAACCTGCTTTGTTTGTAAATCCAGTGATCGTGTCGTTTGTGGTTATCATGATGGGAGATGGAGGGTGCCACCTGGCACTCTAACACTGCCACAAACACGAGTTTGTGCCAGTGCCACCTGATCCCTTGGTTGCAAGAGGGCCTTCACTTGACCATCGGTTCAGCTCTTACTAACACCACTCTGGCATCTGGTGCCGCGGTTATCAGTCACAAAAGATTGATTGGTTGATGATTAAACCACCCAAGAGGTGGCACGCGCATGAATAGCCCGTAATCAATCACATAGGTTATCAAATTTTTTGACAGCGAATCGTCGTAAGACACTGAAACACGGCGGGCGAGGTCCGTAGACTTTACATCCACAGATAGCAGCCAAGTCAGTATGTATCGAGGGTGAGGTTGGACTAGACTTAGATATCTCCATCTCTGTTGTTAAGACTATATTGATTTGAAGGTTGTGGTCTGATAGGAGAAAACTCACAGACTCTGAAAGCGTTAGCATGGAAAAGTTGTGACCTGGTTAGCTCTGAAGCCACTTTATATGGCTAACGGTTCACGTCTGACAGTGTGGTAAGTGCCAGGGTCGGGCTGGGCTTCCGTTACCTGTGGCGGCTGACTGACAGGGCGGGCGAGAAAGATATATAATAACATGAAAAGGTGGACAAAACTAATTAAATTGACAATGATATATTATGACGTGTAAAGCTGAGGAACTTGATGTATGAAACTCATTGTAGTTTAAAAGTTAAATAAAAAACACTAATAACTGTAACACAACAGGAGAAATATTTAATGGAAAATAAATAATTCTACATTATTATTTTGAGGAGGAAGTTCTGAACCACATTAATGCGAGCTTTTTCATATATTTTCAAACAAAGACCTGAAAATGTAGAACATGGAAATTGACCGAGTAATGACACCCTGAACAAGTAGACTGTGATGTCCTGAAGCAGCTCTCCGACACCCCCCCCCCACCCCAACTCCTCACAGGTAGGGACAAACAGGCTCAAATAACCTATGTCTTCAGAGTAGACAGATTACATTTCCAACAGTCTCCTTGAACAAAATACAATCGATATGCTAAAAATTACTCAATTTACACTTCAAATCATGCTGCGTCAGGTCACCGAATATAATTCATTCCAGTTCTGTGTCGTCCGTATTACCACAGCGACGCCCGGTCATATTTTTAAGTCCACTGCGGGCTCACCATAGCCCGTGCTACTTGGAACTTTTTGTTCCAAGTAGCGAATTTTAAACAAGAAGCCCGGTCATAAAAATGGCTATTGGATTTTACCTTCCCTCGGAACACCTTCCTATTTCATCAAAACCACATTCCTAGCTCTCATATGTTCCTTCTACTTCCATATTTACTCTCTACTCTTCACATATGCATCTCGAAAAAGGCTTGCATTTAATTATATATATACATTATACTTTCATTGTATTGTAAGTGGCAGTCATTATAGCTGCAGGTGATGGGTAGCTCTCAGTCCTGACCTCTCACACATTATAAAATGTTCAGTCATTCGACCACTTGAAAAACCTGCGGGAATGAGGTACCCGGAGTTTTGAAATCACTTTATAAACTCTTAGTGTTGTTGAGGATATCCCGGTAATGCAGCCAGTGCCGGCAAGTGCCTACCAGATACTACCAGATCCTGCCAGCGCCTGCCAGTGACCATGGCTGACTAACCATCGTACCAGATCGAGATCTTGACATCCAGCAGCTAGCTCTTGACACCAGCCATATACAGACAGCGTCTTGGCCGGCCTGGTCTACAAAACGACAGATCTTGGCTGTTGTACGACTGGGTGTTCGTCCTCTGGAACGGATGTAATGTAGCAGTTGAACAGTGTTGCAGAACCTCCCGGTTTTCTAGTCGTTATGGAAGGTACCCCAAGGGCCTTCTATAATTCCACTCCCCTACCTAAATGGGCCGTTCCACGCTAGCCAGGGTCCCCGTCATTGGCTAACCGTGCATTGTCTCGCTGGTTCGTTAGTGCTTTCCAGCGTCGGATGACTTCCAGGACGCTGCTTCTCTCCAGAAGTGGTGTAAGGCGCCACGGGCGTCGCCACCACCTTCCCTGAACTAGGGATGTCTCTCGGGACTCTGCCCAATCGTTCTGACCTCGGATGTCGACTTTTCGTACTATGAAATGAAATTGCTACACCCTATGTAGACAAATGTATCATGTAAGATCAGCATAGTAGTTTATAGAGGCACAGTTGGTCCCTCTCTACTCTCTCTCTCTCTCTCTCTCTCTCTCTCTCTCTCTCTCTCTCTCTCTCTCTCTCTCTCTCTCTCTCTCTCTCTCTCTCTCTCTCTCTCTCTCTCTCTCTCACCTCCTCCCATGCAAGAAGTGGAACCTTGACAATAACCTGAGCCTGGCCACGCCCACGCTGACTCACCTGCTGTGGGAGGACATTGCTATGGGGGGCTGTCTAGGGTGTCTATGGGGGAGGGGAAAGGGGAAGTGGGGTGAGGGTACGACCTGGCCTTCATACCCCCATGAGGGGAGCCCAAGATATCCCCCCCCCCCATG